CGGTGGAGGACGGCCGGTCCGCTGGGTCTGGCCTCGCGGTGAGGGGAGCGACGGGCTCCGCAGCGCGGTATGTGCTGCTGTCCTCCGCGTGCACGCTTGCTGAGGACCCGGGTGCTTTCCTCCGTTTCTCCGAGGAGCGTCCTCGCGGTTAAACCCTGCGTGGAGAGGGTTTTGCACTTGGAGTCTTTCGGGCGCTAACGGCGGTCCTCTGCCTCCGCGCCTTGAGTGCTGCGGCGGGTAGAGGGCGGGAGTGGGGGTTTCACCAGGAAGACCCTGCGGGATGTATTGTTCTCCTGACTGGATGGAACAGTGTGTAATGTAAGAAGACTTATTTTTTTTTCCTCCCCAGAAGTAGTCCCTGTCACCCTTCAGGTGGTTCTGGAGACCCCAGGCTAAAAAGTCAGCCCAGTGCGGGGGGAGGTGGCAGTTAGTCCCAGCACTTTGGAGGCAGAGGCGGGCAGATCTCTTGAGGTCAAGGCCACCCTGGTCTACAGAGTCAGTTCCAGGACAGCCAGGGCCACACAGGGAGACCCTGTGTTGAAAAACCAAAAATAAATAAAAGTCAGCCCAGTGATAAAAGAACAATCTCCGTTTATTAAACATGATTTTTCTGTTTCACCACACACTCCAGAAAAAAAAAAAAAAGATGGGCCTGGGAGTGGGAGAAAAGGGGGGCAGTGGTGGGGGACCAAGAGTCCGGGAGCAGGGGCAAGAAGAACGAGTAAACAAACAGCAAAAAAATGAGTAAGAAGATCTTCTCCCTACTCTTAAGGTGGTGGGTGGGGAGGGAAGTGAGGGGTGGGGCTAGGGAGCCAGGAAGCACTGTACAGAGGGGTCGCCTCCCAGCCCCCCCACCCCAATTATGTACAGTACAAACCCCAGATAATTACAACAGCCAAAGAGGAGGGAGGAGGTCCAAGGGTAAGGCCTGAGGGGGGAAGGGGGAAAGCAGAGGAAAGGGCATGGGATAAAATTTCACATATTTACAACTTTTATATAAGTATAAATTTGGCCCCGGCTGGGTGGGTGTATGTAGAGGGGTAAGATTGAAGGAGAGCTGTCCATACAAAAGAAAGGTCGAGTCTGGAGTCTGGAAAGAATTCTCAATACCAAACGCAAGAAGGAGTGAAGAGACAAGGCTGGGTAAGGGGCAGCAGTCAGAGAAGAGGGGGTACCCAGGAGGGGCTTCTCCCCTTCCACAGCCTACCCACCCCAAACCCCATCCATCCTACCTCCCCTATCCCGCCAGAGAGCTATGTACAGAAAAACACCGAAAAAGCGTGGAGCTGGCGGGAGGGAGGGAGACTGGGTGAGGGGGAGGGTGAGAGGGAAGCCCAGCCCTGTCCTACCTCCCCCAGGGGACAGAGTCATGTAAGGGGGCCCCCAAACACCCATCCTCCAACACAGGTCCCCCCATCCTGGGGGAGAGAGACATGGCTTTTCCTAGAGTAAGTTCCCCCCTCCCCATGGGAGTAGAGACAAGAGAGGGAAGGGGTAGAGGGCTGGCTGCTTGTCAGGGTAGGGCAGATCAGCTAGTCTGTCCTCTACAACCCAACACACCTGGCCTCCTAGACCCTAACCCCCTCATCCGAACCTCAATTCCACCCCACCCAACACACTGGGGGAGGGGGGGGCATAAGCCCCCTCACCCCGCTCTGGGACCAGCCAAGAGCAGATCAGGTGTGGGAAGAAGGGGAGGCAGCTCCCATTCCCCCCTTGCCGCCCCCTCCCTGCCCCGGTGGCCCCCTCCACCCCATCTGGGTTCTGGGTGGGGAGAGTTAATGTAAGAGTGGGAAGAGGAAAAGGAGTTGTGCGTGCTGAGCCCCCCCAGACGCTCCTGAGAAATCAAGGGGTAATAGGGCCCCCTCACCCGGGGTCCCCTCCCCATAACAAGGGGGGCAGGGGAGGCCAAAATGGGGTGGTAGAGGGGAGTTATAGATTGTCAGCTCTGGTTACTGCTAAAAAATCACCCTGAAGTTGAAAGTTTGGAGGTGCCACACCCCCAGTGTGGGGGTGAGGGTCTGTCCCCCAGTGCTCAGGGGAACTATGAGGCAGAGGATGGGGATAGCACCCCAGAGTGAAGGGGTCTGTGTGGGAGGTGGTGTCCTGGGGTGGAGGAGGGCAGCTGACGGTCCCACTCTCCCTCCTCGAATGGAGCAGTGGAGTCAGCAGACGGGTGCCCCAAGGAGGCGTTAAGGGAGACAATCCCGCTGTCCCTTGGTGGCGTCCAGTCCTGGTGGTCGGTGATGTTCCAGGGTGGGGTGCACAGGGAAGGAGTCTGTGACGCTGGGTGGGCCGGGGTAGGGTGCACAGGGAAGGAGGTCTGTGATGCTGGGTGGGCTAGTGGTCTGCGGTGTTCCGGAACTCGCCATTCTCTGTGATCTGCAGCCGGGGTGGGGGAGGTGGGGCTGGGGGGGCCAGGCCGTTCCAAGGTGGGGCCAGCGTCACACGCGGGTTTGTTGGACCCAAGGGGGGAAGCTGCCTCTCCTGCAAGACACCAAAGAGGAGAGCGCGGACTTATTGAGACGCTTCGCGGGGGCCAAGATGCTAGCCCCAAGCTGTGCTCACCCGTAACCAGCCCACTCCACAGCCATGTCCACCCCTCTCCTGTTTGTTTCTCACCTCCAGGAAACCTCACCCCTACCTCACTCCTACCAGGAGCCTTTGAACCAGACTTACACTAGAAAACCAGAATACCCTCCAGTATACCGCCCACTTCAGGAACTGTGTATCCCCCGCCCCTGGGCCCAGCCCCACTTCCATGGAGCCCTTCCTAGCACCCTCCACCCAGGCAAGAACTTCCCAGAATGCACTGAGGAGCCAGAGGAGGCAGTACAGAAAACCTCATTAGTGCAAACCCCTACAGATCTGGAAGTTTGTTAATAATTTGAACAAAACCAGGACTTGAGTTTTCCTTTATCTGTGGAAAAAAAAAAAAAGAGTGTGCTAAACAAATTGGTGGAAACCGTGTGTGGGAGGGACTTAACCTACAGCAGCAAACAGTTCCTTCCTATGCTGTGCTCCCTGGGGCCGTGTGGAAGCCTTGTGCACGGTTCTACTCACTGTGTTTGAAGACAGGCTTTTGCCTAAATAGACACTGTCATTCAGTTTTGTCAGCTATCAGAGTGGGCCTTTCAAATATAACATCCCAAACTAGGTGTGACTGTACTGGAGACAGGAAGGGGATGTGGAGGGACACGTTTAGGAAGGCTCCTCTCACACTTGGCAGTGCCCAGCCTTCCTAGCCCTGCCCTTTAACACAGCTCCTCATGAGCTCACCCCAACCATCACATTATGGTTGCTAGTTCATACCTAATTTTGCTACCATTATGAATCGTAATGTACATACCGGATGTGGGACCCCTGTGAAAGGCTTGTTAGACCCCAAAGGGCTCGGTTTAAAGCCATTCACTGTGCCCAGACCATATTCCCAGGCTGAGTGACTTCCCCCAGCCCCTGTTCTTTTGTCTCAGTTCCCCTCCCCAGGTTTCCAGTTTGAGTAGCAGACCCTAGCCACTCCTGGACCTAATTTCAGAAATCGCATGGCTCTTTTACCCACTTCCTGGCTCCTGCCTCAGCACAGCCTTCTGTGCCTGTGCTGAGAGAGGGGGGCCGTGTGGGCTCACAGTGCTGGATACACACTTGGCTTAAAATGAATTAATTCTATTAGCTTCCAGTAGTAGCCGGGCTGCAGTGGGATCAAGGCTACAAATAGTTTGGAGCAAATACCCAAGTTACTGTCTAAGCTACAAGACATTCAGGTAGGGCAGCATGTAGTTATCTGTATCTGACCCTATCTCCAAAGGACACAAAAAAAATGAAGCCTTCCAAGAACAGCTTCCCCTCCCCCACATCAGAATCAAAGACTCACCTGTGTTACAAGGCCACCCAATATATAACCTCAGACAAGCTGCCCTCTTGGCTCTCTGGGTATCTCCCAGGCAGTCTGTCGTGGGATACCCTGAGCACACGCAGCAGGAGCGCAGGGAAGGAACCCTCAGATCGCCTCCACTCTGCTTGTCTGCTCATGACGACACATGGGCATGCCCCCTACGCCCTCATGAACCCAAATTTAGAAACTGGATAAACTAGGGTGCCATTATTCATTGTACAAAGAACCCACTGCAGGAGTCCTCTCAATGGCAAGGCTCCCTGCTGTCTGTCAGCATTTATTTACAGGTCACTGACAACTCTAAGTGGCCAGGCAGGCAGAGAGTACAAATTACACTAGGAGGAGCCACTGC